TGTGTGTGTGTGTGTTCTTGTATACATGCTTCTGTGTGATATGATTTGAACTGGATGCCTGTAACCACGTCGAGTGGATTGTGTTGTTATGCATGTGATCATTCCGGGCGGATTGTGTTGTTATGCCTGTCACCACGTGATGAGCGCAAAACACAATACGAAGTTAATGCTCGCTAGCCAAAGATAGTATGGTTTAATTATCATCTCCACAAGGATTGGATTTAAATAATTCAGTATGATCAAAACTTGATTGGATTAATTACGAACTATGATTAACTACTAAAGTAAAGCAATTGATAATTCACTACAAAGAACTAGCGATTAACAGAGTTGGTTTCTTATCAATGTGAGAAATAAGGGCTTTGACATGACAGGTGCAAGATTGTTATTCTGGATATGATACTGTTATATTTCACTTCTTGAGATTCTATTGATTCTCACGAATTCAATAGGTGATTAGCTTATACTTCCGATTCAGACTCCTCTCTTGATTAAATATAAATCTTTAAAATAAACTAATGTGAAGTGCGGTGAAACATGCAAGAATCTATTGGTAGGCATGATCAAAGAGAAACTTCTCGCGAATATTTTTCAATCTTAATTTAAACGGTAACTCAAAAATCTCTCTCGATTACTTCGAAGAATCACCAAAACAAACTAAGGCATACACTGCAATAATATTCAATAAGATGTTCCTCTTTCGATTAAACACAGAAAGAATAAAATCACAACTATAGTAAAGCTCATCCAATAAATTCAAGCAATTAAGTAGTAGTCGAATCCATAAACAACAATCAAGTCACCAAATCATGTCAAACCCTAAGGCAAACTACTCCATAACTATGGAGGAAGTCATCACAAATATAATTAAAGAGTGAGAAAGTATCAATCTAACATTACAATCCAAACTACCGTATTGAATTGATGGAAAGATGATGAAATCTTGTGTCGTGTAGCCTTCAATGCTCTCCAAAAGCTTCCAATGTGAAAAGTCTTCTAAAAGTCGTATTTTTAGTATATTTATACTATATAGGAACGGGTCGGACGAAACTATCCTTTCCAAGATGAAGTAGGAGAAATACTCTGTAAAAGTTGCACATGCACGGCACATGGCATGCCGCCCCATGCGGTGCGTCTGCAGAGAAGTTCAGAGAGTTGATTTTTATACTCTGCAGGAACTTTGCACTAGCGCCCCGCGGCGCATGGCGCAGCGCAGTAGTGCACTTTTCCCAGAGTAATTTTTTTTCTCACTTTTTGACTTTCAGACTTGGTCCTCGACCCCCGAACATGATCCCGGCTTAATATCTTGGGCTTCTACTCAGACTTCAAAGTCCCAAGTTATCCATTTTAACTCCAAACTTGTTTCTCCACGCTATTCGGAGTCGGGTTTGAGTGAAGTTAGTATAGTTGACTGAGCAGAATACTATAAAATAAAGAATTATGAGCATCAAAGTGGTTTTACCTGAGATTTCATTATTTGATCATATATCTGTTCTATACTTATTGAAATTATGAACTGCATAGGTGTTAATGAGTATCATCTATAGTTCTTGGTTCATTTGCCTCGCCGAGGTTAGTTAGGATACTTATTGAGTACATGGTGTCGGTTGTACTCATACTACAGTACTTCTGCATCTTGCATGTAGATCTTGGAGTTGTTGCTGCTGTGCATGGCAGGAGCTAGCATTAATGATGTATCCGTATTCCAGTTATGGCTATCACTTGTCCTTGGTTGCTTTAGACTTGAATTCTATTCATGTACAATCCAAACAAATATTGTAATTATTCAGTTCAGGTTTTTGTAAAATCTAAGTCTTAGTAGCTCATGACTTATACTACTAATCCTTAGGTTGTTGTATAAAGGTTTAGTTATTTCATCATTTATTTCTCATTAATTTCATTTGGAATATGCTGACTGTTAATTGGCTTACCTAGTGGGTTGGGTTAGGTGTCATCACGACTAGTGGATTTTGGGTAGTGACAAGTTGGTATTAGAACTCTAGGTTCATAGGTTCTACGAGTCATGAGTGAGTGTTTAGTAGAGTCTTACGGATCGATATGATAATGTCCATACCTATCTTCGAGAGGTTACATGGCATTTAGGATAAACATCTTATCTTTCTTTCCTTATCGTGCGCCATTGATTCAGGTTGAAGCATTTCTCTTTGAATTCCTTCCACTCACTCGTATGTTATGTGAGCGCTCGGTATCGGCCATGCACCAACGGCTTGTGATTCCATAGATGGGGTGCGAGACTGTAATAATCCGACATTTTAAGAGTGAACTTTTTAAAATTATTTCTTTAATTATAATTCACTTAATTTTAGCGATTTACATATTGAAGCGAGTAATTATAGAATATATTTTTGGGAATATTAGTTACATCATACTATACTAAAAGTGGGAACACCCTATCTTCAAAGTTAAATTACTAATATATCCTTTTTAAAAAGGTTGTCAGTCTTCCTAGCAACGAGGATATCGGCTACTATCTGAGAGTCAATCTCCAGATAGAAGTCATTATACCCCTGTTGTATACACCATTGAACTAATACTTTAGCGGCCATTGTTTCAGTGCTATTGTTGGTGTTGCTTCGGACC